ACTGTTTTTGTTTTTCCTACTGGTCATTCTTTCAAGAAGTATCTTCTGTTCTTCTACCTGCTCGAGGTTGGTCTGCTTGTCCTTTCATGTGGAAATTTCCCACCTCAGAAGATTCTGGATGGGAATCAGGATTCCAGCTGGTTTTTTGCAATGCAAAGGCTCTGCAGGAAGCCTCCTTCACTGGGCACATTCTAGCCCCAGTTTAGGTATTCCAATCAGTTATAGGCTGAAGATGGACTTACAAGCTTTCTATGGTGATGTTTATGGTTATTTATTTCTGTCCCCTCAAGTGTCTATTTTACAATAGTAGGAAAAGGATACCAAGATTCAAAAGACAGCCAAACATCTTAACATTATTTCCCCTCTTTTACCCATTCAAACCATGTCTCCATCCTTGTATCCCAGAAGGCTCTGGCATTTGATGGAATACAGATAGAACTCTTTCAACAAACTGATGCAGCACTGGAGGCACTCATCTATGCCAAGAAATTTGGAAGGCAGCTACTTGACCAACTGATTGGAAGAGATCCATATTTGTGCCCACTACAAAGTGATGTGGCCCAATGGAATGCAGAAATCATCAGATCATTAATATCATATGAGATTACATTTTTGCTAAAGATAATTTAAAAACAACTACAACATTACATTGACAGGGAAGTGCCAGAGGTTCAAGTCAGATTCAGACAAGGATGTGGACAAGGGATATCATTTTTGACATCAGATGGATCTTGGCTGAAAGCAGAGAATATCAGAAAGATGTTTACCTGTGCTTTAGGTGTTGACTCTGGATCAAACAAGCTATGGACAACATTGTGGAGACTGGGTATTATGGAACACTTAATTATGCTCAGGAGGAACCTGCACATAGACCAAGAGGCAGTTGTTTGAATAGAACAAGAGGACACTAATGGTTTAAAATTAGGAAAGGTGTGTGCCAGGGTTGTATTCTTATTCAGTCTATATACTGAGCAAATAATCTGAGAAGCAAGAGTGAATGAGGAAGAACATGGCATCAGAAATGGAGGAAGAATCATCAACAACCTGCAATATGCAGGTGATATGACCTTGCTTACAGAACGTGAAGAGGACTTAAAATACATAATGATGAAGATCAAAGATCACAGCCTTCAATATGAGTTGCACCTCATAGTAAAGAAAACAAAAATCCTCACCACTGAACCAATAAATAACATCATGATAAACAGAGTAAAGATTGACGTTTTGTAAGACTTCATTTTGCCTGGATCCACTATCAACAGTCATGGAAGTAGCATTTAAGAAACCAAATGAAATATTTCATTAGGCAGATTTGCTGCACACGACTTCTTTAAAGTATCAAAGAGCAAAGATGTCAGTGTGAGGACTAAGGTATGTCTGACCCAAGCCATAGTATGTTTAGCAGTTTCATATGCATGTGAAAGCTGGGCAGTGAATAAGGAAAGCTATAGAAGAATTAATGCATTTGAGTTATAGTGTTGGAGAATATTAAAATTACCATGGACTGCTAGAAAAATAAACAAGTATGTGTTGAAAGAAATACAACCAGAATGCACATTAGAAACCTGAATGGTGAGACTCTCATTATTTGGACATATTATCAGGAGGGACTATTCCCTGGAGAAGTACATCGTGGTAGTTAAAGTGGAGGGTTAGCACAAAAGAGGAAGTCCCCCAACACAATCAGTTTACACAGTGGCAACAGCATTGGGCTCAACCCCAAGGGTAACGATTGTGCGGATGACACAGGACCAAGCAGTGCTTCATTCTGTTGTGCATAAGGTTGCTATGATTCAGAACAGACTTGATGTCACCTAACAGCAACAACAATGGGAAAATTAGACTTCATTTGTTACAATGGAACAAATGGTAATGTACAAATTCTATATGAAAAGCATATTTGGTTTAACTGCTTTTGGATTCAAGGAAGATACATATTCCTGGGTTATATAAATTGATAGTTACATTGTCTCCATTTCATGCTGTCAGCAAATGTGTATGGTCTATGACAAATGTGTTATCAAGAGCTGGTCAACATAGTTTTGGCAAAATCCCCCATAAGAGAGAACCATTAATGAGTACATGAAGGAACAGCATATGTGACATGATCTGCACAGTTGACGCATATACCCCAGGTTCCCAAGCTCCAGGAAAATCAGACAGCAATTCTCAAATTAGCTATCTGCCTCTCTGCTTTCTATCACCTCTTCCAGATTAAAAAAAAAAAAAAGGAAGGGAAGTGGGGAGGTGGAGAAGGAATATAGTGTTTTATGAATGTTGGCTAGGAAGCCTGAGTATGCATTCTAATTGTGTTCTCATCCGCGAACACAAACTGGCCAGGGTGACCTAGTGCTGAAGGTCAGTCCTTAACTACACTTGGGGTTTAGTACCCTGTCATTTAAGCAGATATCTGACTTTACAACCCCTCCATTTCTTCTTCTGTAAGTGATGCTGGTGAGTGGTGAGCTGGAGGTGCTAGGTGAATAGTAAGATGCAGTGTATTCCATAGGGGAGCTCTACAGATAAGACGGGATGACATTTGTACTGCATTTTTGCATAGTTGGCTAACATGTAGTATCTATTAATGGTAGCTAGTTGTGACAGTTCACCACTTATTGTCAGTTTGTTGTACTGTGTGGTGTTTGTGTACTGGTATGATGCTAGAAACTATGCCACTGATATTTCAAATACCAGCATGTTCTCCCATAGTGGATAGGTTTCAGGGGCACTTCCAGACTAAGATTGGAAAGAAAGACCTGGTAATCTACCTCAAAAAATCAGTCAATGAAAATCATCTGGTTTCTCATAGAAAATTGTCCAGTATCATGCTGGAAGGTGAACTTCTGGGTTCTAAGGCACTCCACAACAGTCACAGCAATGGACTCAAACTTGCCAGTGATTGTAAAGCTGGTACATGGTTTAAAGGGCTCCACAAGTTGTAGCTGATTCAGGCCATCTAACAAGCACAGCACTATTGTGGCTCTAATGTTAGAGTAGGGGAGGTAACTAAGGCAGGTTTTGTGTGGTTCACATTTTTTTGACCTCTACATATAATGAAACTTAGAAAAATACACTAATTTTTAAATTTTATATGTAAATGATTTCTATCTCCGTATATCCACATGAGTGCATATTCTAAGCCATTTTATAAGCAGGTACATTTCTAACACTGATTATTGTGGGGAAAGCTAGTGGGGGTTTTTTCCTACGTCTCCTTGACCTACTCCATAAAACAAAACAAAAGTAAACCCACTACCATTGAGTTGATTCTGACTCATAGACCCCTAAATGTAGAGGTTCTGAGGCTATGGATAAGCAAACCACAAGGACAGCAGTTCAAGCCCTCCAGCCTCTCTGCTGGAGAAAGATGAGGCTTTCTGCTTCTGCAAAGATTTACAGCCTGGAAAACCCTGTTCTGGGTCACTATGAATCAGAACTGACTCTAAGACACTAACAACAACAAATCCTTATGCAAGCAAAAATCTTCATCTTTCTCTTGTAGAGCAACTGGTGGGTTTGAACTGCCAGCCTTGCAGTTAGCAGCCCCCTGTGTTTATCCTACAGCTCCACTAGGGCTCCAAGTCCTTAAAAATACAGCAGACAATGGCTGTAATTACTAGGGAGCTTGGAAAATCTATGACAAAATGAAATGAAAAATAATGGAATTTTTTTCATGAATTTTTTGAAAGCCCCCTCATATGATGGTTCAATTTTTTCCATATGTATTAATAATAAAATTA